GGCTGGACGACAAACGATGCTTGGGGGAATCGGGCGAGGTTAATCAGCGGAGCGATGGCAGTGGGAACGGCGAAGCTTAGCACCTGTATCCAAATCGGAGGCCCCGTCATCAAGCCCGGAGACGGAGGTGCGTAAACTGGGGGAGGCAGGGACGGGGGACATTCAGCCCCCACTCCCCCGGCTGGGCGGGCAGCAGGACCCCGACACGCCACCGGACGCTTTCATGCCTTAGGTCGCGGGTGAAGCGGTTGAAAGGATAAAACAAGGAAACAGACTGAAGCCTAGAGTTTCATTTAACTTAATAGGTGCAGCCAAAGGGCGAACGGATTTCCGAGGGGGAGGCAGCTTAATGATCAGGGGAGGAGAGTTGGGGGATAAAATACCACAAGACCACGAGACGCGGAGCTGCACATAGCGAAATAGACACAGACAGGGGGCAGCCATACTGCTAATTGCACCTGCCGCTGTCGCGGTCTAAGGGAGGAGGATTATACTACAAACGGTTGACTGCAGAAAAAAACTCTGCATAGGAATGTGCACATGAGCTCGAAGGAAGAAAGGGATGTTCAAATATCTGACTTAAAGTGGACGGAAGTCCGTCCTGGACAGATCTCCGGAGTTAGGGGGACGGGGAGAACCGGCAGAGACGGCCTGAGTAGGTTGGGTTTGTCTTTGCCGGATGTCTGCTGACACACAATCCCCACACAACCGCTCCATATCACAAACCAACACCCAGTAAAATCCAAACTCTTGCCGACAGTAAGTACGTGACCTGCCTCATCATCGCCGGCGTGGCGGACACAAGGACACATGTGCAAACAGACACATCTCATGCAAGTAAGGAATATATCCTTCGTGTGTGTGTGCGCTGGTATGTGAATTGGCGCCAGGACGTGTGTGGCACGCGTAGACTGACCGTCTGGCCCAATCCCGTCATCAGATCGTTGGTAGGCTCGCACAGCCTACCGATGCTGGGGGGAGGTAAAAGTGAGTGACGCCGACGCTGGGAAATCCATCCACACCACAAATCAGGGGGAGACCTCCCCCTTATTAAATCTGATGGGTTTGAATCTATCAGGACGTGCTTAAAATGACGAC